CGATAAGTAAATCAACTCAATAATTTTCGATCACAAGGAGATAGTAAAACTAGCTCACAAGGAATAACCACAATAGAGAATACTAAACGTAATAAGAACAGCTCAACAAAGGAGAAAATAATATGAAGCAATAATCCCACAATATGTAGTTCAACAACAAGGAAGCTAACACGAATCAAATAATTCCAAATAAGGAAATGTCAACTAAATATAGGATATCTAAACTTCTTTTAAGGTTGGACAAATTACAAAGAATATACAACAATTTCAAGTAAGGATGAGCAGCGGGAAGATAATTATTACCTCAATTAAGATTAAGCAATTACAAAAGAGATAATAATGATTTCCAAAAAAGACAAGCAGTTATAAAAGATAGCATGACAATAAAAGAGGTAAAAAATTTCAGTTAAGCAAAATAAGAGTCAATTAGGCAATAAGAATGAATCATAAAGCAATTAATTCCAATTAAAGCATGTAGAGGTGAGACTAGTAAATAGGGAATTCAATACTATCAAGAACAACTTCATACTCAGTGAATATAAGGACCTAAGAACCCTAAAAGGCCAACTTTCCACAAATTAGTCCGAGCACGCACTCGTCACCTCACGTACATGAACTACAATCAACATAGCAGATTCAAATCCTAAGGGGAAGTCCCCTACACAAGGTTAGGCAAGATACTTACCTCAAAGACGACAAACCAACACTCTAAAATGCACTTCTCAGGTGAAAATACCTCCAGACGGCTCAAATCTAACCAAATTAACTTTAGACAACAAATAAAACACATGAGAAACTATTCTGGATCATAAAGTCTCAATTTTTAACAAAATCCAAAAATTGGTCCAAAAGTTGACCCCCGGGCCTGCCCTCGGAACCTGACAAATTTTACAAAAAAACCGAATACCCATTCCGATACGAGTTCAACGATACAAGATTTATCAAATTCCGATACCATTTGGTCCCTCAAATCACGAATTTTCATTTTAGAAATTTTCTTTCAAACCAACATTTTCCTCAACTCAAAACAAAAATTAAAAGATAAAAATAAAGATAAAATCATGTAATATGTTAGATTCTAGGTGAAGAACACTTACCCAATCGATTTGTGTGAAAAAACCCTCAAAGAATCGCTCAAAACCGAGCTCCACAAGTCAAGATATGAATAAAATTTGTTAGATATGTTAGATTCTAGGTAAATAACACTAACCCTCTATTTTGGGATATATTCTGTTTGCCCAAAAATTTGTGCATCGCGATCGCGGAAAAGGAGATGCGATCTCGAAGAGTAAGGCCACTGACCTGAATCAGTGCTACGCGATCACGTACAAACTTGTGCGATTGCGAAGAAGGAAAATCTGGTGGTCCATGAACTGAGCTACGCGAACGCGAACAAGGTGACGCGAACACGAAGAAAGAAAATGCAGGACTTCGCGAATGCGGAGTAATGAACGCGAACGCGAAGAAGGATTTAGTGGTGATCAGAAACAAAGCATCACGAACGCGAAAGGCGGTTCGCGATCGCGAAGGAGGGTACCAGAAGCAGAAAACAGCAGTTCCAAAAATTGGAAAAATGACCCGTAGCCCACCCGAAACCCCCGGGACCCCGTCTAAACACACAAACAAGTGATATAACCTAATATGGACTCACTTGAGTTCTCAAATCATATCAAATAATGCTAAAACGACGAATCGCACCATGAATCGAACTATGAACTTCCAAATCTTCCATCTTTGAAAACTTGTGCCGAAACTGATCAAATCAACCCGGAATGACGCCAAATTTTGCAGACAAGTCCAAAATGTCATAACGGAGCTGTTCCAACTCTCAGAATCGCATTCTGACCCCAATATCACAAAAGTCAACTATGAGTCAAACTTCTCCATTTCCCAAACTTCAACTTTTCCAACTTTCGCTGAAATGCCTCAAATTACCCTACGGACCTCCAAATCCGATTCCGGATGCACGCCTAAGTCCAAAATCACCATACAAAGTTGTATCACCCAAAACCCATTCCGGGACCGTTTACTCAAAAGTCCAATTCCGGTCAAATTCTCACCGTTTAAACTTTCAAAACTAGTTTCCTTCTTCCAATTTGACTTTAAATCATCCATTAACTGAATTCAACCATGCACGTAAGTCGATACACATATTATGAAGTTGTTCAAGACCTTACGCAGCTAAACGGAGCTTAAATTCTCAAAACAACCGGCTGGGTCGTTACACCATTCCTCTGCACTGGCCGGACTATTCTTGATATATATGAGGGGCAACTCATTCTACGAGTGGGAGAGAAAAAGTGATGTTTCAAATAAAGAGAATGATGAAATACCTATGTGATGAGGCATATGCCTATGCTTGTCTCATACTAGATGTGGTGGGAGAGTTAGCTGAACAACACAAGTTGGATAAGTTGGTAAGTGATTCAATAGAAAGATGCATTAGAGAATCAAGCACAATAGAGGATGAAGATCTTGAGATCAAGAAGGAAGTTAAGGGTTTGGAAGATGAGAATTGGGTGGTAGACGAAGAAGATATTGAGAAAGAAAAGATCAAGTCGAAGCTAGAATTGAAAGTACTCCCGACACATTTGAAATATGATTTTTTGGAGACTAACAATTTTTCCGTGAGTGTTGCTGCTGATTTGATAGGTGAACAAGAACATGTGCTTGTGGAGTTACTACGAAAGCATAAAAGGCAATCGGTTGGAGTATAGCCGATATTTAGTGGATCAGTCCCGCAATCTCCATGCACAAGATCCTGTTAGAAGAAGGGAGTAAACCGGTGGTGCAGCCCCAGTGCAAATTGAACAAAAAACCTTGAGGAGGTGGTGCAAAAAGAGATACTCAAATTGCTGGATGCAGGTATTCAATCTCTGACAATCAATGGATTAGCCTCGTATAGGTTGTGCCAGAAAAATGGGGCATGGCAGTGGTAAAAAACAAGGACAACGAGCTAATTCCTACCATAACAGATACTGGATGGAGGATGTGCATAGATTACCGGAGATTAAATGATGCAACAAGGAAGGATCACTTCCCTGTTCCTTTCATTGATCAAATGTTAGAGAAGGTGGCGGGGCGGGGATGTTACTGCTTCTTAGATGGATATTCAGGTTACAATCAAATACCCATTGCTCCCAAAGATGTTTCGAAAACCACCTTTACATGCCCGTCCGGAATTTTTTGTATACCAAAAAATGCCTTTCGGACTATGCAATGCACCAGCTACTTTCCAGAGATGCTTGATGTCAATATTTTCAAATTTGAATAGGAAGTGTCTGGAAGTGTTCATGGATGACTTTACTCTATTTGGAGATGACTTTAAAGATTGCTTGAGGAACCTCGAACTTGTTCTGAAACGATATGAGGACACTCACCTAGTACTCAACTAGGAAAAGTTTTACTTCATGGTTAAGGAGGGGATAGTCCTAGGCCATAAAGTCACAGCTGAAGGTATTGAGGTCGACAAACCTAAAGTATATGTGATAGTGAAGCTCCAACCACCGACTTCAGTGAAGAGAATCAGAAGTTTTTTGGGGCATGTCGATTTCTATAGAAGGTTCATCAAGAATTTTTTCAGCATTACAAAGCCCTTAATTGCATTACTTGCCAAGGATGTGAAATTTGTATTTGATATGAAATTTATATTCAAGAAAAAGCTAGTGAGTGCCCACATAATGGCGACTCCTAACTGGAGTAAGCCTTTTGAGATAATGTGCGACACTAGTGATGTGGCAATAGGAGCAGTGCTGGGGCAGAGGAGAGATAAACTGTTCCGACCTATTTTCTATGCAAGTTGGACCTTAAATGATGCTCAGGTGAACTATGCTACCACGGAGAAGGAGTTCTTTGCAATAGTCTTTGCTTTTTACAAGTTTAGATTATATTTGGTAGGAAGCAAGGTAATAGTGCATACTGATCACTCAGCACTGAAATATTTGTTGAGTTAGAGAAAGTCCAAACCACGTCTGATATGGTAGGTATTGTTGTTGCAAGAATTTTATCTAGAAATCAAAGACATGAAGGGCACAAAAAATCAAGTGGCTAACGACCTGTCACGATTGGAGAAACCACCTATTGAAGTGGTGGACATTCGGGTAGAGTTCTCAGATGAGCAGAGTTTTTCCATTGCAACAGTCTCTGATAGACCGCCATGGTTTGCCGACATAGCCAACTTTTTGGCTAATGGGTGGGTGCCATACGACTTGACTTATGAGCAGAAAAAGAAGCTGCAAAGTGAGGTAAAATGTTACTTTTGGAATGACCCTTTCTTGTTTAAACTGTGTGTAGATGGTGTAATTCGAAGATGTGTGCCTGAGGGAGAGATGGCAAGCATTCTGTCTCATTGCCATGATGGATTAACTGGAGGACACTATGGTGGAAATCGCACTACAGCAAATGTTATGGAAGTCGGTTTCTATTGGCCTACTTTGAACAAAGACACATGAGTGTATGTAGCTGCATATGACAAGTGTCATATGGAAGGTAATATTAGCAAGAGGGACGAAATGCCACTCAACTCCATTCTGGTATGTGAATTTTTTTACCTTTGGGGCATTGACTTCATGGTCCGTTCCCATTGTCACATTTTTATGAGTATATCCTAGTAGCCATTGACTACGTCTCCAAGTGGGCCGAAGCAATCCCTACTAGGACCAATGATGCTCGGGTGGTGTGTGAGTTCATATAGAAGAACATCTTTACCCATTTTGGGATGCCTCGAGTGATTATTAGTGACAATAGGTCACACTTTGTGAACAAGCAATTTGCTGCACTGCTGTCCAATTATGGGGTCACATACAAAACAAGAACCTCGTACCATGCCCAAACTAGTGGGCAAGTAGAAGTGACTCACTGTGAACTTAAACGAATTCTTGAAAAGACGGTTAGTGCTTCTCGTAAGGATTGGTTTGTAAAGTTGGAGGAAGCTCTATGGGTGTATAGAACTGCATTCAAAACAACCACAGGGACTTCACTATTCAAACTAGTGTATAGAAATGTATCACCTACCTGTTGAGATAGAACATAAAGCTTATTGGGAAATTAAGATGCTTAATCTGGATCTTACTCTTGCAAGTGAACACAGGTTGAAGCAGATGAATACATTGGAGGAGTTTAGACTGGATGCGTATAAAAATGCGCGGATTTTCAAGGAAAAGACTAAAAGGTGGCATGATCATCTGATTAACCCAAAGAAGTTTCATGAAGGGGACAGAGTCTTACCGTATAATAGTAGACTCAGATTGTTCCCCAGAAAATTTAAGACTAGATGGACGGGACCGTATGTGGTGAAACATGTACCACCATATGGGGAAATTGAGATTCAAAACATAGATGGAATGGAAAGATTCAAAGTGAATGGGCACATGCTAAAATCGTGTTTTGCTAAAGGATTTGCTCAGCAATTCTCGAGAATCAAAATCAGTTGAGGATGCCCGGTTGAGTCAAGCTGACGATTATAACTCATAACTACCTCTAACTCTTCTACTAGCTTAATTTTCACTTTTGTTTATAGCATAGAGTAGATAGAAATTAGTGTATTTTATGACTATGTAGGTGTAGGAAGGTATATGTTGAGGATGATCGGAACCAAGGTGTCTAAAGGCCCCTTGTGAGTGTATCCGTGTGCGACTGTGCACCTGGGGGTACCTCACGCATATAGTCACGCAAAAGACAACGTCAGACTATGTGGTATGTGTGCGCCCACGCACTTGAAGGGTTGATAGCGCACTTGACCCCGCACGGGTTGACCCAACTATGCACCCGACCGCGCATAGGTAAGTAATTCTCTTTTAATTTCAGTTAATATTGAACACCCCTCAATCCCCCTTCTATATTTTACCCTTTTCCCTATTCTCTTAAGTGAAAACCTAACTCGCCCACCCCCTCTCCCCTACTCTTCTCCCTTCCCCTTCCTCCAAAGCACTCTTTCTCAAAGACTCCTCAGGTATGTGAGATGTTTTTTCCTTGTTTTCTATTTTTTTGTTAGTTTGGTTGTAGAAATTTTTTGTTTCTTTCTTTTTTGTTTGGTCTCCTTTTCATGTTGGGTGGAGGTTGAGTGCACAATGGAGACTGACCATATAGTTTCTAGGAGTGAAATTGGTGTATCATTAGTCTGGTTAAGGCTAAAATTGCATTGTGGGAGGTTAGTGTCAGCTGTACATGTTAAGTGTTTGTGTAAATGCCACAATGAGATTGAGGGTGTAATTTTGTGACCACGTGTGAGGGTAAAGTCTAAGTAGCCTTTCTTGGTTTGATAAGTGATTCATTAGCTAATAGTCAGAGTTTTGTTACAGATATGATGACGCTCTCAAAGAAAAGAAAAACTGCCAGTGCCTCCAAACGTGGTCAAGCAGGCACGTCCCGGTCGCGAGCTTCTACATCTGCTCGTCCTTATAATCAGAATAAGTTTGTCTCATGTGAATCCCAACAACAATTTAATAACAAAGCAAGCAAAAAGTGCATATCGAAAAGAGGAATAGATATTGCACCTCTCCAAAACGACTGTCCTAGAGTGTATACGGAATTGGTCAGGCAAAGACTGGGGGTGTTTTTTGAAGAACTCGACGAAGCAAATTTGATGGTTATTAAGGAGTTCTATGTGAACTGCCCGGAACATGAGGACCATGTATGTACCGTCTGGAAGAAGAGTGTGGATTTCTCCAATGAGGCCATCCAAAGGGCCTATCACTTGCCGGAATATGTGGAAGACCCTGATACATGTGACTATTACGTCATGCACAGCGGGAAACCATACCTATGGCACCTGTTCTTTGCAACCATTTGTGTTTGGGAATACTGTAGTGTTGCTGAAGGAGGGGCACAAATTTCACTCGGCTTCGCTCACTTTTAAAGGGAAATACTGTCTCTACATAATCAATAACCGCCTCATGCCATTGGGATAGACTACTAAGGTGAATGGTCCCCGGGCTGCTCTGATTTGGTGCTTTGTCAATAACTACGATTTTGACGTTGCTAAAGTCATTCAGAATGAGATAACAATTAGGTGTCCTATGTAGATGTATGGGTTCTTTTTCCCGTCACTAGTCATGCGGTTATGCCGTGAGGTACGTGTGCTGGAAAATAGGGCCACTGATGGGAAAGTCAAGCGCGAACAGAAATTTAGGGCTGATAAAGTTGTAATTGGGAAGGAACCTTCTAGGGCTTCTAAGGCAGATAGTGAGGAATCTGATGAGGCCGACAAGGTAACTAAGGTTCATAGTGAGGATGTTGTTGCTTCTCCACCGCATGAGCAGGGGATGGAAACCTTCAGGTAGTGGATGGGAAACAAGAATTGGTACTTTAGAACATGAGATGGCAGGTATGCGTACTTTAGTCACTGATTTGGGAGCTTGGGTGGACTCCCTTGCTACACAGAATGCCAAGTCAAAGAAGAAGATCATGGCATGGTTGCTTGCATGTGACGACCCAGCCAGTCATCTGATGAGTTACCGCTCCGGTTTCCCCATTTCTACTTCATTATTCGTATTTTATGTGATCGGATTGATCAGTTTGAGTTCGGAGAGGATTTGGTAAGAAATGAGACACTTAGTCTCTTTTAAGAAGGTTTAAGTTGGAAAAGTCAACTGGATGTTAACTTATGTGTTAGAGAGATCGGATGTGAGTTCCGATGGTTTGGTTAGCTTTGGGAGGTAATTTATGGCTTAGGAGTGTGATTTGAATGGGTTTTGGAGGTCTGGAGTAGAATTAGGCTTGAATTGGCGAAGTTGATATTTTGACGATTTCCGGTTGGTAGGTGAGATTTTGATCCGGGGGTCATAATGGAATTCTGAGAGTTGCAATAGCTTGGTTATGTCATTTGGGATGTGTGTGCAAAATTTCAGGTCATTCGGACGTGGTTAGGTTGGCTTTTTGATCGAAAGCATATTTAGGAAGATTTTTAGAAACTTAGGTTTAAATTCGATGTGTTTTGGGTAATTTGATGTTGTTTGAGGTGTTTTGATGATTGGATAAAGTTTGAATAAGGTTTTAGGATGTGTTGGTGCCTTTGGTTGAGGTCCCGGGGGCCTCGAGTGAGTTTCGGATGGTCATTCGGGTCATTTTTGGAGTTTGGGAGTTGTAGAAAAATCGGATCAGGTGTTGCAGAGAACTACCCTTCGCGATCACATAGGGTGTATCGCGATCGCGTAGAAGGATTTTAGGAAGGCCAGAATTAAGCCTTTGCGTTCGTGTGAGAGTTTTCGCGTTCGCGGAAGGCTGGGAAGCTGTGCAATGCGTTCGCGTGAAGGCACTCACGATCGCGTAGAGGAAGATGGGCTGAAGGTTATTAGTGCTTCGTGTTCACGTAGGTGAGGTCGCGTTCGCGTAGTGTAATTTTGGGGAGGTTAAAATTTGTTCTTTGCGATCGCGAGGGAAGTGCCGCGATCGCGATGAAGGAAAAGCAGGCCTGGGCAGAATGTTTTAATTCATTTCATCCGCGATTTTGGAGCTCATTTACTCCATAGTTTGTCTTTTTGAAGGAAATTGAAGAGGGATTCAAGGAGAAACGTTTGGAGGTAAGAATTTCGGACCTAAAACTCGAATCTATTGTGAAATCCACCTAGTAATCATAAAAATGGAAGAACCAGGGCTTGGAATTTCGGACGTTTGATTTGGGGATTTGGAGGACCATTTGGGGTCGGATTTGAGAACTTTTGGTGTGTATGAACTCGTGGGGAGATAAAAAAACCCTTTGATGTGAAAATTTCTAAGTTTCGAGAAGTGGGCTCGGGGCTCGGGTTTTGCTAATTTCGGGATTTTTTGGTATTTTTCGATTGTTTTCACTTGGGCTTTGTTCCCTTAGCATATTGTGACGTATTTTTCTGATTTTGGATAGATTCAATGCGCGTGGAGGCCAATTCGAGGGGCAAAGGCGTCGCGAGCTAGAGATTTAGCAAGTTCGAGGTGAGTAATGATTGTAAATGATGTCCTGAGGGTTTGAAACCCCGTATTGCACATCATAGTGCTATATTGAGGTGAGGCACACACTTGATGTTGAACGTGGGGTCGTGCACTATTGGGGATTGTGACTTGGTCCGTCCCGATTGATGATTTTACTGCGTATTTGATTGAATACTATTTGCTATCATCATAATTTGGGTTAAATGCCATATTTGGGTCTGGTTCGGGGATTTTTATTGATATTTCCTCACTGTTTTGACTTATACTTGAACTCAGTCACGTTATTTTCCACTATTTTACTACTCAGCCACGTTTACTCAGTTTTAAGACTTAAATGATGTTTGGGCTGAGAAACACTCTTTTACTATTGCCCGAGAGGCTTGTGATGATTTTTGACTGAGTAAGGCCAAGGACCTATATTGTGAGGAACACTGACACTGATATGAGGCTAAGGGCCTGAGATACATATATACGCCATGAGGTGGCTTGATTGATATGAGGCCGAGGGCCTAGATTTGATGCCACGAGATGGCTTGATATTGCACTTGGGCCGTAAGGTGTCCCTCCCGGAGTCTGCACACCCTCAGTGAGTGCGGCTACCATTGTGATGTGAGATTGAGCCCGAGGGGTGGAAATTGTTGATATTGTGCCCGAGGGGCGAACTTCTATGTGTTTACTTTATTATAACTGTTTGTCAATTAGCTGTTTATTTGTTGTAGAAGTACTTTATGTTCCTTTTCATTGGTTTACTGCTTACAAATTACTTATTTAGTTGCTTCATTATAGAATACCCTGTGTATACGTGTTTTCTTACTTTTAGTCATTATTTACCTTTATTACTCACTGGGTCGGAGTACTCACATTACTCCATGCACCTCGCGTGTAGATCCAAGTGCCCCGGAGGCCGAGTGAGAGCTTTTCAGTCGTTCAACAATTGCCGGGGATTTCGAGGTAGCTGCATGGCATCCGCAACCTTGATTTCTCCCTTCTATCTTATTAATTTTTTCCGCATTCCTAGACTATCTATGTAGTAGGTTGTTCAGACTTGTATTAGAGGCTCTAGACTTGTGACACCAGATCAGTGTAGGTTGTGTAGTTTCTATGATTTGTTGACTTTCGCATATCTATCTTGCCGTTTTAAACACTTATTATGATAGTTGGTAATTAAACCGTGTTAGCAAATGATTTATTTAAAATGAAAATGGGTTGTGGTTTATAATTGGTCCGGCTTTCCTAGTAATGTGATAGGCGCCATCACGAACGGTATTTGGGGTCGTGACAAGTTGGTATCAGAGCCTAGGTTACATAGGTCTCGCGAGTCATGAGCCGGTTTAGTAGAGTCTCGCGGATCGGTATGGAGATGTCTGTATTTATCCTCGAGAGGCTATAGAACCTTTAGGAAAAACTTCATATTCTTCAAATTCTTATCGTGCGAACTTGTTGATCTGAGTACTGAACTTCCGTTATTCTATTCTCTCACAGATGGTGAGGACACGAGCTACCGGACGGGGTGGACGACCACTAGAGC